CGCCCCCCCCCCCCGACTTAAGAATCTCTTCTGTAGCAGCGCTTTCCCCTCCCTTGATGTCTTGCTGCCTCCTGCGTGTCCCCACGGTCTGTTTGGCATTCTGCCAGGCCCATGTAGAATTCTGCATAGATCGTGTCACAATCTGCCCAGAACCGTGGACACGTTCCGATGGAGTTATCTCCAGTGGCATACTTAACAGGCTTGACCCGCATGCACACCGAGAAGCAATGGTTAAAAGTAAAACCACCAAGTAGCTGTAACGTAACGCAAAAGAACCCTCATCTTTTTATTTCTTTATTTGAAGCATTTACAAGGCCGCCCCATTCAATCTATTTAGCTCTGAGAGTCATACAAGAAAAATAAACAATTCAGAAAAAATATCGATACTCATTTAAAAATAACCCAATAAATAAAATGGCAAACTGAACAAGACGATTCAAACAGTCACAGGGGGACTCTGCTCAACGGGGCCCAAGTGCCTGGGAAAAAAGCCACGTCTTCACAGAGTTTCTAAAGGCAAGCAGAGCTGGGGCCTGTTGTGTATTGTGGGAAGTTTCCTCCAGAGCACATTCACAGCTGAACGTGGCCCGAGGCTTGACGTTCTCCACATCCTGGCAGCGGTGGCATCGTGTGTGTGTGTGTGTCCGTGTCCGTGTCCGTGCATGTGTGTGTGTTCCCTGTTCCTCCCATGGAATTGATCTCTTATCCAAACCCAGGAATAGCTGCAGTCTGAAGACATACCAGAGTCTGAAAAATATCCCAGCCTTGCTAGAGACGCTGGGAAGTTCTCCAGGGACCCAGAGCCTGGAGAGATGCGGTTTGTGCTGTGGGGAAAGACAACTCTAGTTCTATTTGCATATAAACCAGTCGTGTTCTGATACCAGTTTATGTATCTGTTAGTGAGCTTCAGCGTAAGAACATTTTGCCTCTTGAAATGATGTAATGGTACAATGGCTCTCTCCCTGGAATTCAGTGGCATCATACAGTTTCACCGGGTGTCTTATTTCCTCAGACTTGCTAGC